GCCATTCAATACCGATTTTAAAAATTATTACAAGATGAAATTGTTTGGATTAAAATAATGGAATAGATAAGCACTAAAAATATAGTAAATTCGTTCTAAACTTTGCAGTTTTACTCAATCATTATCAGATTAAATAAGTATTTTTTATTTTCAATATCTGACTAGGGCACAACTTTCCTAAAACTACATTCAAATTCTCAATAGATAATTTATTCAGCATTTATAAATGACTTCATGTTCCATTGGCGATCAATGGTATACTATCATCTCTAGAAAATTCTTAGTAAAACTATTGCAGGTCATGTACTGAATTTAATAATGTTAAATCTTACAAATTTTCACTTATTTGTGATCATCTTTTCGACATTGATGCAATCTTTTTGTTGTAATATTGTCGAGAACTGGATACATCAACAATTAAGTTTTTTATATTCTATCTTAAAATACAGAACTATAAAACAATACATTATCAATATTTTATTATGTCCTCTTATTATTGTTTTTAACTCACTGATAATGTGCTTCTTCTTTTTTGTAGTTTTATGATTTCTGTGTAAATTAGCAAAAATCAATTGTCTTTTTTTCTTTTCAATGACGTTATGATTCTGTTATTTTATCGTGTTCTACTTCGCCGTCTATTTGCGCACATATTCTGTTTCTTTTCTTCTTATATAACACGTGCTTTTCTATGCTGCATTTAGTTTTTTTATTCATTCTGAATTATAAAAATACGTCGAGAATATCTGTATGACGGTTCGTGTTGTTACATATAATATTTTAGTACCGATTTTGGCTAATCGACCTGAACATTATACGAAATGTCAAATTGAATTTCTTCAGACTGATTATCGCTGGAAATTAATTCAATTTCAATTAGAACAAGAAATTATTCATCATGATAATACGATCATCTGTATACAAGAATTATCTCTTCCTCTTCTACCTAAACTTGAATTATTTTTTCGTCGATTAAATTATACATTCTTTCATAATCTTTACGAAGAACGACACAAAGATTATATGGGTGTTGGTATAGCGATTCCTGTTTCAATGCAACTTAATTCAATCTCGATTATTAAAATTGGAGATCATATACGATCGATTTGCAAGTTACGTGAGAAAGAAACAAGATTGCTCCCAGAAGAATCGAATTTACACCAGGATGTCAAGAACAAACTTACAGAACCTGTAGCAGATCCTTGGGAAACTGCTATAAACAGACGCAATACACTTGTTTGTTTACAAGTTATGATTAATAATAAATCCTTATATATTGGTACGTATAACATGCCTTGTCTATACAAAGAACCTGATGTTATGATAATTCATTCTTCGATTGTGAAAGATTTAATGTTTGAATTGTCCGATGGTCAAGATTTTATTCTTGCTGGTGATTTTAATATTAGACCACAAGATGCATGTTATCAAGCTTTAACTAAAAAAGATTATTCTGATATTGATTTACCACAATCTAATATTTATGAAATTTCATATAAACGAAATGCTGCACAAATATTGAAGAGTGCCTACCGAGAGAAGAATGGAATCGAACCTGTTTATACAAATTTTGCTCATTCACCACAGTCACCTAATTTTTGTGAAACACTTGATTATATATTTTTTAATGGTCATCTTTCAGTAACAAATGTATTGGAATTACCAGATCATCCTACAGGTAAATCTTACCCAGATGAAACACATCCATCTGATCATTTAATGATCGCAGCAACATTTCAGTTATGATCATCTTAGAAAAAAAAGCTTTTTTTTAATTTGCTAATAAAAGATATATATGATTTTAACTTCAAACGTTGAAATAATGTTACTATCTACTCCAGAAAAAGAATGCATACGACTAGTTTTTACCACTTGAAAGAGGAAACTTGAAAGCATAAAATGATTCAAGAACCATCATGTCTCGAAGATCTCTATTGTATTTTTTGTTCTAATTGAGGGTGTTAGTTTTGATGTAATATTGTTCAATGGAAAATTAATATATCAATCTAATATAGATCGATTATATCAAGCGGAGTATGGATGTGAGTTTTATATTTATCTCTCATACTCACATCTATATGAGGGGATTAAAAAATAAATAATTAGAAGAAAAACCGTTACAAAAGAAGTAAGACATGGACTTTTAAACAGTTTTAATAACTAAATTTTCAACTATGGATATTATATTTTGTAATAACAATGTCTTATTTTTACTTTCCTGTATTTCATCATCATGTTTGAATTAATATGGTTGTATTCTGTTACATTTGTATGACACTATGGCAACGTTTCTAGAGAATTTATTCCTTTGAAATGACGAAGCAAAAAAATAATGACCCTTGTAATCAGCTAGTTAAATAAAGTTTACTTAATTGTTTAGGAAAAAAATATTGTGTAAATAAGAATAACACATTCTTTGTATGGCGTTTATATTAGAAGAAAACAATTATTCATATTAAAAATATCTTTTTTTTTGTTTCTTTAGTTTTAAAACATAATTCTAAAATATTTTTTTTTCTTCATAAAGAAGTTTCATCAAATTAAATACACAACAAATTTCTTACTTTACTTTGAATTGAATAGAAGAAAATATCTTTTGGTAAGTACTGGCTTTTGTATAGGTTAGAGAAAACAAAAACAATCTTGATTCTTTTGAATCATCATAGAGACTATCGAGTGAAAATTTCTAGACAAAAAATATTCATACTGAAGAACAACAGAAAAGTTTTTGAGAAAAAATAATTAGATATATAAAGGTTTTATTTATTAAGAATTGTAGTATTAGAAAATGGATGACTGTAGAAAACTGTAGAGAAAGCAGAATATTATTGCAATAAACTATCATATGTGATGGCTGAATCATACTTCTCTGTATAATTTCTATGGAGATAGATGAATGTTTTTTTCTTTATTTGAAAGACTTTTATAATTAAAAATATAATTATACAAATGAAATTTTTGCAGCTAAAAGATATATTTGTGATATTTCAAAATCATTTTCACATAATAGATCGATGTTTAACATGTAAATCATGATGCTATGAAGTCGAGTAAAGGAATATTTTTTTTCAAAAATACGAGAAAACTAAAGTTTCATTACTGTATGTATTAATTCTTACGTTTTACAGTTAGCTAAATATAAATTGAAATTTATTTCGTGAATTATCTTAGAAAATACACATTATACTTGATATTTTAAATAAAAAAATTAGAAAACGATTATTCTCTCGTATATGAATAGAATCATATCGTAAGAGACGCCATATCTTATTCAGAATTATAAGAAAAAACAGTTTTCTAATTGTACAAAAACGTTTTAGAAAATGGAAGTTACTTATATAAGATGCACAAAGAAAAAGTTTTCCTTATTACGATATTAAAAATAAGTAAAGCGTCATGACGTTAACTGTGAATCATTTCTTCATGTTTGTAAAACGTACTTTGAATGTCCTTTTTTTTCTTTTGATGACTAAAAGAAAAAAATAGAAAAGATTATATTTTTAATTAAAACAAAACTAGTTTGAATATGTTCTTAATCAAGAAATTGCAGAGATGCAGATTCTACAAAAGTAAAGTTTAATTATTTCAGTTGGAGAAAAATATATATTAGAATAGTTTGAAAAGATGGATTTTCTTGTATTGATATATACGAGTTAAATACAAATACTTCAACAGATTGAGATATATTACATACAACAAAATTCAATTTATAGAAAACTTATTGTGAATTATAATACTAGAACATATCGATAGTAAAGTGTTTTCGTTGTTCATATTCTCTTTCTCATCGAGAAGAGTGCAGCAAAAATAAATTGTTTGCTTGCGGATTCACTTTTCACTGATTGATCGAAGAATATCGACCATACATCTTTATTCGTTTGAATTATGTAATGACTAATTCAATAGTAACTATTAATTAAATTAATAATTTTCATTTTTCTTTGTAGATTATTTACATCGATCAAACGAACAGCAAGTAGCAATTAAAATAAATGGACTATTCAGCCTGATCGGAGAATCCGATTCTATTTTTTTCTTATTCAATATCTATGATATGTAAAAAAATAATTGCTATACGAATAGTATAGCTCCTAAAAATATTATATCTTCTTGATGTATCATAGAGGTTGCATCGTAATAAAAAGAATTAGAAGCTTCGGTCAGACTAGACATCAGAAATATTAGTTTTTATATTTCTTGGAGAGTGATAAGGAGTAAGGGGGCCGGGGTACAACATATTTATGGGAATACGATGACAAGTTTCAATCCTTTTAAATATACGGACCATCTTCAATCCGTATTATTTAGTATATAAATGCAATCCTTCCATTTGTGTTTCACTAACTGATCATTTAGTCATTTTTAGGTATGCAGAACTACTTGATGTCATACACTACGTCGTAATATAGTAAAAATTAAGCTCTATTGCGGCGTATCAAGCGCATCGATAGCGATATTAATATTTATCTATAGATTTTTAAATAGTTATTATGCGAAAGAATATGTAGTTGTATGAAAAAATCACCAGGATGAACTCTTAAATACTATTTTATTTTATAATTGCTTCTATTGTAACAAACCATATGTCAGAAGCATATAGAAACGCTTAAAAATAGTTTTTATAAAAATATTAAAAGTCCGAGTATGTACACGTTAGATTATGCGAGATGAAGAACACTTTATAAAAGAAAACTTATCAAATCTATCCATTAATATGAAAGTCAAATTATATTTTAGATATTCAAAATGATATTGCTTGGTTTTAGCAATATTTGGTTGTTTTTATTGATTGTTAGGCAAATATCGGGTAAGAATTTTATAAAACTACTTACTATATTCTTCAGAAGAACATTCGACGTATTTTCCAATCGAGAAATGATCAAATCAAATATAATACGCACAATCTCTGAGTTTTCTCTCGAGTTTCAACTAGAAGTATCCAACTAACGGAATCACTAAGCTATCTGCCGATAAAAATTCGACAAACATCTCACGAAATCTAACAGTTAGATTCTAATTGTAAAATTCTGAGTTTCTAATGATCATTACTATCCAACTTCTATATTATAGTTCTATGATTGTTTACAGGTATTTCATACAATCAACCAAAGCTTTGTGCAAATGCAACGTGGAACCAGACAGCTATAACTTTTGCCAATATCACCACGGTTGGCACACAACCTGTAGGCATGTTTATCAATACAGATAACAGCGTTTATGTCGCTGATCAATCGAATGGAAGGATTCAAGTGTGGTTTAACGGAAGTACCACACTTACAGGCAATTACTCTGGTGGCTTATCCGTGCCTTTTAGCGTTTTTGTTACGGACAATAGTGATGTTTATGTTGACAATGGCAAAACAAACTATCGGGTTGATAAATGGGGATGGAATTCAACAAGCAGTGTTCCAGCAATGTATACGTGTGGACAATGTTACAGTCTTTTTGTCGATATCAATAATATGCTTTACTGTTTAACGGGTGCGAATCATCAAGTTGTCTCAAAGTCATTGGACACATATTTAAATGTATGGAGTATTGTCGCTGGTACAGGTTCAGCTGGATCAACCTCGGTTACACTTAATACTCCGTGGGGAATCTGTGTTGATACTAACTTGAATTTGTATGTAGCCGACACTAACAATAACAGGATTCAAAAATTTGCCTCAGGACAATTGAACGGAACAACAATAGCAACTGGAACCATTGTATTGTCTGGTCCAACTTCAGTTATATTTGATGCTGATGGATATATGTTTATTGCTGATTGCTTCAATCAACGTCTTATTGGCTCAGGGCCTAATGGGTTTCGATGTATAGCGGCATGTTCTGGAGCTGGTTTATCATCCAGCCAATTATATTACCCACATACTATGAGTTTTGATAGTTATGGAAATATATTTGTCGTTGATCAAGAAAATAACAGAGTGCAAAAATTTCTTTTGTTACCAAATTCATGCAGTAAGTTAAAACTAATTCTCTTATATGTAAAACGATGCTTCATTATGAATATGTGATTATTTTATAGATGGAGCGACAACAGTAACAACTATGGCCACAGGTATTTTCAAATAGTTTCTTATTGACTTATGTTTTACTAATTAATAATTTATATTTGTTTTTAATAGTAACTTCAATAAATAATAGCCAATCAGTTTCTGTAACAACAACTGCACCATATTCAAATCGTATGTAATCATTTAATAAAATGGGAATTCTGTTTTGGATATATCGATTATTTATGAAATAATTTCAAAAGAGTAATAGAAAATAAATAAATTCAGTCTCTGATTATGTCTTTATAAAGAGAGAAAACGTTTTATTTTGAATTTTGTTTTAAAAAACTTGAGGGTATGGATGTAGCTGTGTAATGGCTGGGTATATCTTTGATAAATATGAAACTAATGACTATATGTTTTTTTTGTAGCTATTTCATACAATATACCAAAATTCACTGCGTATACTACTTGGAGCTCCAATGGAATAACTTTGGCAAACAGCACCCTGGTCGGAACATATCCTTACGGTATATTTGTTGATAATAATAACACGGTATACGTAAGTGAGTATTCTTTAAATCGTGTTCAAGTGTGGCGTGAAGGTAGTAGCAAACCGATAAGAAATATCTCCGGTAATTTAAATACTCCATGTTCTGTTTTTGTTACGAGTAATGGTGATATTTATGTCGATAATGGTTATGTAAATAGTCGAGTGGATAAATGGGCATTAAATACAACAAATAGTACTGTGGTAATGAACGTCAAATCTATGTGCTGTGCTCTTTTTATCGATATTAATAATAATATTTATTGTACACCGCTCGGATATCATCAAGTTAATACAAAATTATTGAATAGTAATTCAAGTATATGGACAATCGCTGCTGGCACAGGTTGTGCTGGAGCAACATCAAATACGCTTCATGACCCTCGTGGAATATTTGTCGATACAGATCTTAATTTGTACGTTGCTGATTGTACCAATAATAGGGTGCAAAAGTTTCTATCACAACAAGTAAATGGAATAACGCTAGCAGGAACTGGAGCAACTGGAACTATTAGTCTCAGCTGCCCTACTGGAATTGCCCTGGATGCTGATAACTACGTATTCATTACGGATTATTTTAATAATCGTATTGTTGGATCAGGACCAAACGGGTTTCGTTGTTTATTAGGATGTACAAATGTTGCCGGTTCAGCATCTAATCAATTATATTATCCAACAAGTTTAAGTTTCGATAGTTACGGTAATATGTTTGTTGCTGATAGATACAACCATCGGATTCAAAAGTTCATTATAATTAATACTACTTCTGGTAAATATAATAAAATCTTTTTTTTATATAATTAGACAACTAAGACAAAAAAATTTAAAGCAAAAATATAATATAGAAGAGGTTTCGCGGCATAAATCAAGTTTATTTACTGTATATCAAAAATAAATGATGAAATCTATTCAGGCGATCCAATCCAAGTAGTTTGTTTTTGATGTTATGATCTTCTAATAGTTCTATTAACAATAATATCTTTGTATTATCAGAAATTGTCCCATTTTTTGAGATGAGAGAAAGAAGAGTTCTCAGTATTTTTTAAATGTGCTCCATCCAATAATAAATCTCACTGAACATAAAACACGTTTTTCTTGAATTTCAATTTCAAAATCTAACGTTTCTATTGCATTTTTATAATCTTTGCCCCGACAAATATTACATATAGTAGTAGACTCAGCTTTCATACAAATGCCATGTTTCAAGACTTAACATTTATATGAGTCCAAATAGATATTATCAAATCGAATAAGATTCAACTACTGGATTGATTGTTCTGTTTAATAATTTGAATAAATCAAGATTTAAGAATATAACATGTCTTAATTCTATCCAAAGAGATTTTCATCTTATTTTAGATTTGATTATTAATCAACCAAGCTTCTGTCCATCTACAACATGGTATACAAATGCTATTACAGTCGCTAATGTCAGCACCGTTGGTTTTCAACCTTATGGCCTTTTTATTAGTATGAGCAATACTCTTTACGTAGCGAATATACAAAACAATAGCGTTCAAATGTGGCTAGAAGGAAGTGTGAATCCTGACAAAACTATTTCTGGTGGTTTGTATCAACCTAGAAGTGTTTTCGTTGCACCTTTGGGCGACATGTATATCGACAATGGTGCCTCTAATGGTCGAGTCGACCAATGGTTCGTAAATGCAAATAGTAGTGTTCCTTTTATGACAGTTTCCAACTTCTGTGGTAGTATTTTTATTGATATTGAAAATACTCTCTATTGTTCAGTAAGTAACAATCATCAGGTTGTTAAGAAATGGTTAAATGATAACATGACTGCGTCAACTATTGTTGCTGGTACGGGTACTGCGGGATCGGCTGCAAATATGCTTAATTTACCTTATGGAGTCTTTGTTGATGTTGATATCAATTTATATGTTGCAGATTGCTCAAATAATAGAGTGCAGCTCTTTCCTTTAGGGCAGTCAAATGGAATAACTATAGTTGGAAGCGGAGCACCATCAACTATTTCACTCAATTGTCCAAATGGAATTACATTGGATGCCAATGGTTATCTCTTCATTGTGGATCAAAACAATCAACGAGTTGTTGGATCAGGACCATATGGTTTTCGATGTATATTCGGATGTATAAGTGTTACTGGTTCAGCATCTAATCAATTCTATTATCCACGAAGTCTTAGCTTTGATAGCTATGGAAATCTTTTCATCGTTGATCAATATAATTCAAGAATTCAAAAATTCATTATGGCGTCAAATTCTTGTAGTAAGTTATTTTTAATTTATGTTTTCGATGACACACATTTGTCTATTTTAGGTCTTTCTTATAATCAACCAACATTTTGTTCTAATGCTTTATGGTATTCTAATGCGTCAACTTTTGCATCGAATAGTACAATTGGTTCATTACCTTATGGTATTTTTATTAATGGAATTAATACTGTGTATGTACCTAATCGAGTTAGTAACACTATTTTATCATGGCCACAAGGAAGTAATACATCAACAAGCAATAGTTATAGTAATTTGAGTAATCCATATAGTCTTTTTATGTCTATGGCTGGTGATATTTATATTGATAATGGTTATTCATATGGTCGAGTGGATAAATATACATTTAATACATCAAATCGTGTTACTGTTATGAATGTTAATGGAAGTTGTTATGGTTTATTTATTGATATTAGTGATAATCTGTATTGTTCACTTAAAACTCTTCATCAAGTTGTTAAACTCTTACTTAATAATGGTACAACCATTCCAACGATTGCAGCCGGAAATGGTTCTGCAGGATCATTATCAAATATGCTTAATTCTCCACAAGGAATCTATGTTGATAGTAATTTAAATCTATATATTGCAGACAGTGCTAACAATCGTATTCAATTCGTTCGAACTGGCCAATTAAATGGAGTGGCAGTCGTTGGTAATGGTTCATCGACAAATATTATACTTAATTACCCAACTGGAATTGTCCTTGATGCTAATGGTTATCTTTTTATTGTCGATAGTTATAATCATCGTATTGTTGGTTCAAGTTCTTCTGGTTTTCGATGTATAGTAGGATGTTCGGGAGGTGGTTCAACTGCATCTCAATTATCTTTTCCACAAAGCATGGCTTTTGATAGCTATGGAAATATATATGTTACTGATCGAAATAATAGTCGAGTGCAACAATTCGCTCTTCAAACTAACAATTGCAGTAAGTTATTTTTATATAATGAGACATTATGAAATTGTAGTTGATAATTATTTTTTTGCGACTATTATTTGAAAAGTTAACAAAAATCAAATGAAATGTTGCTTGAATCATTTGATGTCATATTAATGTTTTTAGTATAACTGCCCTTCTAATTTGATTGAATAAAACATAATTGTTTTGTATTTCAGCAATACCGACCACCACCACTACAACTACTACTACTACGAGCAGCAGCAGCAGTACCACTACTAGCACTACTACTACTACCACCAGTAGTACTACAAGCAGTAGCAGTACTACGAGTACCACTACCAGTACTACAAGTAGCACTACTACTACTACTACCACGACAAGTACTACAACAAGTACCAGCAGTACCACAAGTAGTACTACCACCACGACTACCACTAGCAGTACCACAAGTAGCACTACTACAACGACCACCACTAGCAGTACCACTACGAGCAGTAGCAGCACCACAAGTAG